CTCCGGATATTTTCAATCTTTATGCTAACGGCTTGATCGAAGAGCTTAGGAGTACCAAAATTGGATGTCACATTAATGGTGTAGCGTTTAACAACCTTAGCTACGCAGACGATATGGTGCTCCTTAGCCCATCCATCAACGGTCTTAGAAAGCTTATATTCATCTGCGAAAATTATGCTCGTCAGCATGGATTAAAATATAATGAGTCTAAGACTGAAATGTTAGTCTTTCGTGCTGGAAAGGGTCCGGGGAGAGTACCGCCAGTAAGCATAAATGGTGTGCAGGTTCGGGCTGTGAAGAATTTCAGATACTTGGGTCATATGTTGTCGGAGAACCTGAGTGACTACTTGGATATTGAGCGTAAACGCAGAGCTCTAGCTATACGTTGTAACATGCTGGCGCGTCGCTTTGCCTCGTGTTCTGAGGATGTTAAGATTACTCTGTTTAAAGCCTATTGTATTAGCTTTTACACCGGACAACTTTGGATAAATTACACCAAAAAATCCTATAACATCCTCAGAGTACAATATAATGATGCTTTGCGTATTTTTTTTGAAACATCCACGCTACTGCAGTGCGTCCACAATGTTCGCTGAGGCTGCCGTCCCAGACTTTTACGCAGTGTTACGTTGTAGAACGGCCAGTTTCTGGGAAACTGTACGTAACTCAACAAATGAATTAGTTAACGTCGTTGCTCAGGTGTCTCCTGACAATAAATTTTATAAACACTGGCAGGGTATGCATCAGACGCTGATGCGCGGTGATGAAAAAATTTTTTATAAGTACTATATTTTAACTCATAATAGAGTTTAATTTATAATTTTGTATGTGTATAATACTCTAATTCATTGTTTTTGACGCAAAATGTACTTAACATATGTGGGTTGATACCGTAATAAATAAACTTTTATTATTATTGGGGTGTAACAATATAGTTTTCTCATCTGGTTGGGTTCTATAAATATATAATTATAAATGGAAATGAAAAGATAAATATACATAAAAATCAATAAAATTAAATAAATATAAAAATACATAAATAAATAAACGCCCAACCAGATTATTATTATGGGGTATCTATATAATTTTCTCATCTGGTTGGGTTCTATAAATGTATAATTATAATTTAAAATGAAAAGATAGATTAAATTTAAATTTAAAAGAAAAGATTTAAAAAGAAAGATATTTATTTATGTATTTTTTGTATTTATGTTATTTTATTGATATTTATGTATATTAACCATAAATATCAATAAAATAATATAAATACAAAAAAATACATAAATAAATAAGATCCAACCAGATGGAAGCCCTCGGCAGGGGAGACCAAACGGCCGAGGGTTAGGGGGAAAGCGAAAGAAACCGGCGGACGATGCGGGCTGTATCGAGGAGCACCACCTTCTGCATTTGAGCCTGGAGCGGTCCGCCACGTAGTCCCAGCCACCTCAGATGACCCGAGAGGCCGAATGGGATTAAACCGTTTGCAGAGATGACTACATGAATAATTTCGGTCGGCAGTCCACCCCACATGTCGGTCACCACGTGAGCCGGGTCCAGGTATTTTGTTTGCTTATCTGTTTCGGCTTTCACGAGGTTCTCGTCATACGGAAAGGTAATGTCGACTAAAAATATCCTTGACTGCATCAGCACAATATCAGGCTTATTTGCAAGAATTGTCCTGTCTGTGATGATGGCCCGGTCCCAATAGAGCCTTGCGCGATCATTTTCGAGCACAGCTTCCGGCAAGTACTTGTAATACGGCAATTTCCGATCCACGAGACCGTATTTCAGAGCGAGCTCCTGGTGAAGAATTCTGGCTACTAGGTTGTGCCTGTGCAAGTACTCAGAGTTAGAAAGCGCCGAACAACCGGAGATGACATGCCTAAGTGACTCACTGGGATGGCGACAAGCTCGACAGACGTCGACAGTGCCATCGTTTAGGATGTATCTCTGATAGTTGTTGGTCTTAATAACCTGATCCTGTATTGCACAGACAAAACCCTCGGTTTCCCCCGAAGAGGTCACCGAAACGTAGCCAGTTGAGGGAGGCGGCTGTATCTTCGTGGGGCTCATATAGAGCCCTGTAGTACCTTCCGTGCAGCGCCTTCTCCTTCCATACGGTTTCCCGGTTGGAAATGCTCTGTACTGCCGGGTCCTGCCATTGTTCGTTGGTTAAGGATAGAGGGGTAAGTCCTTTATCACTAGAAATGACGTCATTATAGAATGGATCGTCCGATTTCGCCAGGAAGTAATGACGGAGGCTGCACACTTCGCGATTATGCATGGTGAGCGCGCTCAGGAAGCCACGCCCACCATGCTTTCGCGGCAAGTACAGCCTCATTACCGACGATCTCGGATGATGCATCCTATGGGACGTCATAGTAGTGCGGACTTTTCTATCCAGGGCCTTAAGTTCAGTCTGACTCCACCTGAATATGCCAAAGGTATACATGAGGACAGGCATGACCCAGCCATTATACGCGTGTGTCTTATTCACTTTGGTCAAGCGTGCATAAAACACGTCGCAAACTGACTGTTTCATACCAGCCTCATCGATACCGACGTTCTGTGACATACCCAGGTATCGATATGTTTCAGCCTTGGAAATGGTCCTTAAGTTGACGGGCATAGATAAGTCTATGCCCTCAAAGCTAGCAACCCTTCTTCTTTCAACATGGAGGACCGCACACTTACCCGTCCCCAGCTCCATTCCAATAGAATTGCTAAATTCACAAGTGATGTTTAGCAATTCCATAAGATAGGAGCAACTGGAGGCGAATAATTTGAGGTCATCCATATAGAAAAGGTGGGTCACTTTTGTACCTACTTTCCGAAGATGAAATCCCCTCCCGGAGCCCTCCAGTAAAGTACTGAGAAGGATCAAAGAGAGGCAGAACCAGATTGGACTCAGACAGTCGCCCTGGAATATACCCCTCCTTACCCTTATGCGGCTTTCCGCAGCTGTCATCCGCTCGCCTAGATGACAGAGGATCGTATTCCACTGCCCCATACTGGTAGCTCGAGGAAGTCTCTAACTGTACAGTCAATCTTGTGCAGCTCGAGGACCCTCTTTAGCCAAGTATGGGGAACCGAGTCGAATGCCTTTCTGTAATCTATCCAGGCGGCGGAGAAGTTCCGACGGTTGCGTTTCACCACTTTGCCAATGACCGCGTCAATGAGGAGTAGTTCCTTGGTTCCACGAACACCGCCCCGACATCAATTTTGAGCACGTAACATCACCTGATTTGAGTCCAGGTGACGAGTAATTCTCGCGCTCAAAATGGATGGTAGTGTCTTGTATATGGTCGGTAGACACGTGATGGGGCGGTATTTGCTCGGGTCTGTGGTAACCTGGTCTTTAGAAACCAAATGAGTGATCCCAGTAGTGAAGAGGCTAGGGAGCGACTTCTGATTGAGATCTTCTTGAAACTGACGGGTGAGCACAGCGTGACATACCATGAACCCCTTAAGCCAGTAGTGATGCAGCCCGTCGAGTCCCGAACTTTTCCAGTTCGGGGCTCTACGGACCGCCTCAGCTACGTCATCCGGCGTTATGATGACAGGGTCTATGGGCGTAATACTCGCACACTGACCCGCCACAACTTCCGTTCAAGGGCCCTCGCTGTGATTTACGGGCCCTGACCACAGGCCATGCCAGAATGAGACAGTGTCAGCAGATTTAGTACTGGGCCCGTTCCACATACCATTGGTCGCTCCAATGATTTATCTAGCCTCTTCTAATCACTCTGGAAGAGACGATTCAGGTGGAACCGTGTCGACCTCTCGGTATATTGTCGACTCCGCTTTCCCCAAGCAGCGATTCTCTGCTTTAGGTGGTCTATGCGCTCCGTCAGTTTTTGCATTATATCCGGCTGGGATAAACTAACATTTGTCCCAGCAAATGCCATCTTGACGGTGCGCACAATCCTTGGCCTGTTGTTGCCTGACCTGAAGCATATCAGTCTGCCGATGAGGGCCCTAGCCTTTGCGCTACGTTCATCAATTCTTATTCTCCAGGCTGAGATAGCGCTACTTTGTCCAGTAGCGCGTCTAGCCGTGGAAAGTTTGGCGCCTATAATACGGCATACTGCCAGTGCTGCGCCAAAAAGAATTGCGTTCGTCTTGCAAAGGTCCTGGCTGGCTTCCAAATAGGTCACCAGCATTGGGTTTAAAGCCCTCACGACAGCCCGATTCCGCTTGCTTAGGGCTATGCGGGGAAGTCGCGGTTGATTTTCGAGAGGCGTACTACGCGTTTCCACAATCGCCTCCTCATACGCTCTAATTATAGTTCCTGGGTGACTGTTCCATCATCGTTTGAATCAACCACAACTGGGGTATTCACGGCGGCATCCACGTTTGCGGGTTGCTCTGAAATTAGTGGCGCCGCATCCTCAGCCGTAGCATTTTCATCCAATGACGGAACAGCCTCACATCGTAGTCGTTCGAGTTCGGCGACATCAAATATATTTGAGCGCAAGATATACCGAACTCGGTCTGCCAGGTTTTGCTCTGTGACGGTTAAAGATGGCGCCAGCTTAGCAAAAAGACAATGCATCCTAGCCCGATACGACAAACCTCCAACTTCTCCCCCTTTCGCCCTAAAATACGCCCGCAATGCGTTAGTATTCATTTCGATTGTCCATCGCATGCGACGTACTCCACCAGTGGCGGGTGCCGATTGCTGGGCCCGCGAAGACCCTGCCGACACCAAGCCAGCTGGTGGGGATGATGGATGCGAGGGGCTGATGGGTGGTCGTGTAGTACCTCTCGCTCGGCTGGCGGTTCGCATGCTGTCGCGGCCAGCGCCAGCTCCAGACGCGCCCTGGCGACCTCCAGGTTATTATTATTATTGTAATGGGGTATATATATAGTTTTCTCATCTGGTTGTGATGTATAAATATATAATTTTAAACGAAAATGAAAGGATAAATATACATAAATATCAATAAAATAAAATAAATACAAAAATACATAAATAAATAAAAGCCCAACCAGATGGAAGCCCTCGGCAGGGGGAGACCAAACGGCCAAGGGTTAGGAAGAAAGGGAAAGAAACCGGCGGACGATGCGGGCAGTATCAAGGAGCACCGCCTTCTGCATTTGAGCCCGGAGCGGTCCGTCACGGAGTCCCAGTCGCCTCAGATGACCAGAGAGGCTAACTGGGATTAGCCCATTCGCAGAGACGACTACAGGAATAATTTCGGCCGGCAGACCACCCCACATGTCCGTCACCTCGTGAGCCAGGTCCAGATATTTTGATTGCTTATCTGTTTCGGCTCTCACGAGGTTCTCGTCATACGGGATGGTAATATCGACCAAAAATATCCTTGACTGTGCCCGGTCCATCAGCACAATATCAGGCTTATTCGCAAGAATAGTCCTGTCTGTGATGATGGCCCGGTCCCAGTAGAGTCTGGCGCGGTCATTTTCGAGCACGGCTTCCGGCAAGTACTTGTAATACGGCAATTTCCGGTCCACGAGACCGTATTTCAGAGCGAGCTCCTGGTGTAGAATTCTGGCTACTAGGTTGTGCCTGTGCAAGTACTCAGAGTTAGAAAGCGCCGAACAACCGGAGGTGACATGCCTAAGTGACTCCCCGGGATGGCGACAAGCTCGACAGACGTCGACGGTGCCATCCTTTAGGATGTATCTCCGATAGTTGTTGGTCTTAATAACCTGATCCTGTATTGCACAGACAAAATCCTCGGTTTCCCCGAAGAGGTCACCGAAACGTAGCCAGTTGAGGGAGGCGACTGTATCTACGAAGGGCTCATGTAGAGCCTTGTAGTACCTCCCGTGGAGCTCCTTCTCCTTCCATACGGTCTCCCGGTCGGAATTGCTAAGCACTGCTGGGTCCTGCCATTGCTCGTTGGCTAAGGATAGAGGGGTAAGCCCTTTATCACTAGAAATGACGTCATTATAGAATGGATCATCCGATCTCGCCAAGAAGTACTGACGGAGACTGCACACTTCGCGATTATGCATGGTGAGCGCGCTCAGAAAGCCACGCCCACCATACTTCCGCGGCAAGTACAGCCTCATTACCGACGATCTCGGATGATGCATCCTATGGGACGTCATGGTAGTGCGGACTTTTCTATCCAGGGCGTTAAGTTCAGTCTGAGTCCACCTTATTATTATAATTATTATTATATTATTTCATATATTTATGCGAACGCTACATATTGTATTAATCCAATTTTATTATTTTTGAGCCCACTACTAATGGTAATGTTTATTATTGATATTACAACAAAAAAAAAAAGAAAAAATTATTAGGTACATACAGTAAAGGAATAAATATTATTTGAAAGTTTAAGGAAATAATAAAATCTTTGTCATCACCTCTTAAAAGTCATGGGACTCTCCTGTTGTAGACAGAATTTGCTTATAAATTATTTATAACTTAGAATTTATCTATAAGAAATTAAAAAAAATTTAAAAAGACTTTGAATTTAATTATAAAGAAGACAAGAAATCTCACACCGTCGTCGGACTGGGAATTTTAAGTGCGACCTAAAGTGATTATACTGCTATCTATTGAAATAGTCGCCTATGGGAAATGTCAGAAATATCTAAAACACCTTTCTGTTACTACCTATAGTCAACTCTTACGATACCCACAGTACAAAATAGAGATATGGATTCTCTTACCGGATAAATACATATAACCAGAATAATTTTATTTATGTTGTATATTTGGAGTATTTATACGATAAAATGATATAAATATTTTTATAGTTATATAAAAATTGTGGAAAATATGAAAGTATTGAGTCTTAACATAATATAGGACCTTATGCAATCTTTTACAAATCAATATCGATACCTACCAGGAATCGGTTATTTTATCGTGTCCGTACTCGTTTATTATCGTAGAACGACAATGGTTACGCGGAAACGATTCGTGTATTTTAATTTTGTTCGAGGGTATATTTGTCAAGTGTTTACCCATCCTTTGGCCTAATATCCCTTCCGTACACACTGAAAGGGGAAAGGGGGGAGTCTAGAAGGTTACGCGATTCTTTCGACCAATGACAAGCGCGCCCGACCGAGGTGCATTGGTGGCAAAGCCGAGGCAATATAGGCTCGCGCGCTATCCTCGAGCGGCCTCTTGCCACGCGCCGCTTGTGTGAACCGCACCACCTGCTCCAGGTGGTGCGGTTCAGACAAGTCGTACTCCAGAAGTAACCGCCTCATAGTGTGAGATACCGTCATTTGTTTCCATTCGTCAGTTTGCCATTATTGCCACGCTTGCTGCGGGTTGACAACCACAGTTTTTTATTATTTTGAGTTGTCATCCTGAAGATGCAGCTGCCCATCTCCAGTTTCAGTTTTCCACTGTCGTCTCTTAGGATACGGACGGCACGATATGGGACAATGGATATTTCAACACTACATAGTCAGAGTACTAACTGATCGCTACGTACCACTGGGTAGTGGGACGCCTTGTCTACCCTGGCGTCTGTCTGTGTATGTACACCCTCTTACCTAGTGCTGCAGGCAAATTTTCGTGTTTCTGTCTGGAGGGTATAGCGAGCCATTATAAACTCTTGCTCTGACGCATGCATGCATGCATGTAGCTTTCTTTGTTTGAAATTGGCTGCAGGTGACCATGGATTTTAGTAATCTCGTACTATTAGCTTTTTTTATAGAATTAGAGTGACAAACGAGTACACAGTCCACACGACGGTAAGTGGATGCTGTGGCCCGTAGACATCTATAGTTAACCTCGATTAAGAATCAAAATGCAGATCCGTTGTCACCCCTGAGGACTAAGATATTCCATCTTATATATATATATATATATATATATATATATATATATATATATATATATATATATATATAGGTCTGATCCCGTTTATGAGTGGGAGTTGGATCGACTAGACCGCGTAATGCGCTGGAGCAGAGTGGCGGAATAATCTTTATATGTCTGCAAAAGATTTTTATTTCACAGACACGCAGGTTTGTTATATTTTCCTTCACCTAACTGCCTCATTGGTCTAGTGGTCGTAGCAGACCAGGACGGATCAGTTGCTGAATTTTTCTGTCAAGAAATTCACAGTAGTATCCCGGAGGCAGGAAGTGGGCGGTGTTTTACCCCCGTGCCTCGGAATTCACGAAAGTCCTTAGTCCTGTGCCTGAGCTCTCCCCAGTCGTGTCAGTTTGATGTCCTCTCGTACTACGTGAGTGAGAAAATAGTGAGTGTAGTGTAAAATAGTGAGAGTCCTGCACAGATGGATGTTCTCTGTTGAGACTGATCGCCGTGACCGAAATTTTTATTATTTCCTACACCACCATGCTACCTTGATAGACCCCACACATTAGTTCATTGGGTGAATATCAGAATATATTGCCACGCCTGCCGGACGGCTTGGTAACCGTATATTTTACTATTATTGACTTGTTATCAGAAAGATGCTGCTGCTCATCTCTAGTTTTCATTTGCTCTGTAGCCTTTTACGACACCCACAGGTAGATTCTCCTGTGCCACCACTACATGACATAACCACTTTATCGCTAACCACGTGGTAAATCAATACTTGAAATTGTAATTAATTGATACTTGCGGGGATCAAACTTGGGTTACTCACGTTCTGTATAATTTTTTAATGAAGCAAAAAGAATATATATTGGCCTAAGCTTAGCGCGACCTATTCACAGGAAGGTGAAAATAAAATTACCATCAAGCAAGTAAATTGGAGCTGCAAATGGACGTCTCCGTATGAATATTTAACGGTTCAATCACTTACGTTATCACTTAGTCGAAAATGAATGCTTCAGAGCTTAAAGTAGGTTAATGATGTTAAATTGGATTTTATGTGGGCTCGATTCCAGTAAAACAGGTCTTCGGTTCGCTACACTCACCATACGAAACACAGCAGCATCAAGCTGCTATTTTACGCTGGTATTCTGTGAGAGCGTGGTCCTTTTCCAGATGAGCAGAACCTTTCTTAATATAGCTGCAGCGTGGCGCTACCATATATAAAAACTATAGTAGTTTGTATGTTAACTATACTATATATGTTTTAAACTGGGTTTTGTCTACTTAGTTTACAATAAGTAGATTATTTACTAGTCTTTTTAACTAAAACAACTCACTGCAGTAGACGTTCCTTACTTAAACAACTGCTGTTCGAGCTGTGAATATAAATGGATTTTAATATAATTGCAATTCTTGAAGTGAAAATGCTAGCTGAAGTTAAATCAAGGTAAATGTTTGGCTTTCCTTGGTGCCGTCGTTATTTTATATATCTTCGCGTTAATCTATTCTATTAACCAGCATTCATTTGAGCTCAAAAGTCTGAAAACAGACATTTGCATTAATCGCGATGCAAAAATCTCGAGAAAATCTTATCAAATCACTACTAAATGCTAATAGACAAAGGGTCATGGCATACAGATAAAAAAATATCTTCCTGACCGATTTTCGGGCACGGCGACCAGCCTCAACGGAGACTAGCCATCTGCAGAGGAATGAATTATAGTATGCTATATAGTGCAGTGACTTAGCATTGGGTTGCGGCGCTGTAGAGCCGCGGGTTCGAATCCCGCACAAAACAAATGTTTGTGAAGCTTATATAATTGTTTTGTATCTGAGTATCTCCGATATTCAGGAGAAAATCT